GACAACCTCAGTGTCCACTGGCGTTTGGTTGGAGCCCCCCCAGTTCCCAGCCACACGGGCCCCTCCATGCGGCGGCTCACAACACGGCAACCGGCTCCCATCAGCACAAGCAAGAGAGAGTGTGCAACAGACGCCAGTCTTCTGTAACCTCATCTTGGGACTGACAGCTCATCGTTTCTGCTGCTATTTTCTTGTTAGAAGTGAGTCACAATTCGTACACCTATGTTCACAGCAGCATTCTTCACAACAGCCAAAAGGCAGAAGACCTCAAGTGTCCATCAACAGAGGAATGGATAAACGAAGTGTGGTACAGACACACAATGGAGTATTATCCAGCCTTAATTAAAAGGAAGGAAATTCTGACACATGTCACAGCATGGATGAACCTTGAAGACATTACGCTAAGTGAAAAATAAGCCAGTCACAAAGACAAAGATTGTATGATTCCACTTATACGAGGTACCTACAGGAGTCAAATTCAGAGACAGAAAGTAGAAGTGTGGTTGCCAGGGATTGTGGGGAGGAGGGAACGGGGAATTATTTAATGGGTATAGAGTTTTAGTTTTGCAAGATGAAAAAGTTCTGGAGATTGGTGCACAACAATGTGAATATACTTAACACTACTGAACTCTATACTTAAAAATGGTGACAATGGTAAATTTTATGTTATGTGCGTTTTGCCACAATTTTAAAAAGAGCAAGTTACAAGGTCCAGATCATATGCAAAGGGATGAGATTATACCAGGGCATGAATCCCAGGAGGTGGGGACCATTGGAGGCTGCCTGCCATGTTCAGTCATTTATCCAAAGTTGGAAAGAAGCTATCTGTTCAATTAAGATTGAATCCAACATCTTCAAGGCCACACCCAACACGTGCATGGCACACCTGCTGGTCCTCAGATATGCCCTCCCAGGAGGAGTTCCTAAGCAACAGAAAAGCCATCTGCTGCCTGCCGCAAAGCCACTGCTTTTGGAATTATCTGGTAAACAGGCTATGCTTCCTATCAGTGAAGCCCAATTAAAATTCAATTCCTATGATCTCACTCATACGTGGAATGTAAACCACATGGACAGAGAAAACTGGACTGTGGTTACCAGGGGCAGTGGGGGTGGGGGGTGGGCACAAGGGGTGAAGGGAGTCATATATATGGTGATGGACAAACAAAAATGTACAACCCAAAATTTCACAATGTTAGAAACCATTAAAACATCAATAAAAAAAAAAATTTCAATTCCTCTATAGTGTTCTTTGGTCTCTAACACATTCCCTACGGGAGAGAAAGATACGGTAATGAGTGCACATCCATGGTCCATGCCCACTTCCCATTCCTGACAGAGTCTGTTGTTGGTTGTAAAGGCCGAAGATAAGGAAGGAGATACATCCCAGACGAGCGGAGAAACGGAGGAGAGGCACACACGAAGCTCATGTCTCTACCGTGGGGATACCACTTTGTCATACACTCATCAAATCCAAAGAAAAGTATTTCAAAGGCCAGCCCCTGTGGCCTAGTGGTTAAGTTCAGTGTGCTCTGCTTCAGCGGCCTGGGTTTGGTTCCCAAGCACGGACCTACACCACTCATCTGTCAGTGGCCACGCTGTGACAGCAGCTCACATACAAAATAGACGAAGATTGGCAACAGATGTTAGCTCAGGGCAAATCTTCCTCAGGAAAAAAAAAAAAAGTATTTCAAGCACCATATTTTGTGTCATGGGGCCAGTTTTCTCCACTCCATCAAAATAAGTATTATAAAATATAATTTTTTCTTCCCACATCAATGGAAAGCAAAGATGCATTTTTCAAGGTCTGGAGGCCCAGCAGAAGCCGACAGGATGTATTTTGATTAAATGAGTTCATGTACAGAGGTGCTCAGCACAGCAGCCAGTGCACAGACAGGCTCGGCAAATGTTTACTGTTGTTAAGACAACAAGTGGTCAAATCCCGTGTAAGATGACATCCTGTCCAGTCAAGATGCCTCTGAAACTCTTCAGGAAGACACCACACGGAGCCCAGTCTCTCAAAAGCCCAGGATGAGTCAGGTTTCCCCAGCACTGGTACCCTGGTGTCCCTCATTCAAGCACCAAAATTAGCAGTCAGGTTGCATTTAGAGGCTCTGTGAGATGAGGAAAGCATACGCTTCCATAACAGAATCACCTCGGGGCAGGGGGACGTTCACACTGGAAGAGGGACGCAGGACTGCAGACTGGCCAAGGGGACGGCAGGTCCAGATTCCCATCTCATGCTCTCTGCAGGGCATGCTCCCATCAAGGGAAGGACAGAATCATATACTCTCTTTAAACAACAATAATAGTACTTATTATGATTATTTTAATCAACTGTAGATACTTGATCTCACACAACTTAAATACACATGCAGCGTAATACCACATAGGGTGCAAATTAAATGGAGCTTAGTAACATAACACCTTACAAAGACATCTTTTCTAGTCTTCAGCGCTTACTGAATCCACTCTGTGCAGGGCACTGTGCTACTAGGTGGATTCTGTGGAATTCAAGAGGCAAAAAGGACACCCTTCCTGTTCTTACATAGCTAATGGCGATGGCTTTCCATAACTGGCACCCTTGCAAGGAGGCTGTTATATTGCTGGCAAGGGACAGCTGTTACTCACGCCCTGATGGGACTTCCTGATGGGAGCATGTGCAAACAGCTTATTTTCCAAGGGGATGTCATTGGCTGTGGAAGGCACAAAGCTGAGACTCTAAGGAAGGTTGCTCCAAGTAAGGTATTTGTCAAGAGCAGGGCTTCGTGTGTCTGTGTCCACCACCACCTCGTCCTACACCTCACGTTTATAATGTGAGAGTACAATACAGAGAGAGGGGCTGGATTCAGAAACACCAACCTCAGCCAGCCTGCAGAGGGACAGTTCTCAAGGGCAAGCAAAAAT